AGACGGTACACGCTAATGCAACTGCAAATTAGGCTGAAAGCCAAAAGAGCACTGAAGGACCTCTTGAAAAATAGATTTTATTCTCAGTGGGATGAGCTGTTTAGATAAAGATTTGTTGAATCAAAAGAGAGAATGGGACTATAAAAATGAAATCAGATTTACAGATAAAAGATTGGACGCTGATGTGACCCGTCAGCAGCAGCAGAATATAGGCTTTTCAGCCTCATCTTTTGAAAACATTTTCTTCAGTACCGACTGCAGAATTATAATTTTTTCATTAGCGCAGAGCCAACAGTGGTCACAGGTTGTTTCCAATGCTGTTGTGAGACATAAGTCTGTGCAAAATGCTATTTTGTGGCTCACATGTAAATCATATATATATCACATGCAGATTAGTGGTTTAAATATAACACACAAACACTTTTTAAGACAGAACAGCTCTTCAGGTAATAAATCAGTAGAGCAAAGGCACCGCAGTTTTTCTAGTTGACTAATGTTGTATTTGGTTTGAACTGGATGTGTTGCATCAGCAGCAAGTAAGCAATGTGTATGAGAACTATGTGAGTGTCTGCATTTTTTTCATTTCAGTAGCATATTGAAAAAGAAGAAATTCAAGCATGTAGCCAGTATAAGCCTACTTTACAAAAAACTTAAAAAAATAAAAATGATGTTTATCAATAATAACACAAACACACACACACACACACACACACACACACACACACACACACACTCACACACACACACACACACACACACACACACACACACACACACACACACACACACACACACACACACACACACACACACACACACACACACACACACACACACACATACATACATACATACACAACCTCCATGCCAAATGTTAGCCTACTAGGGTGCAAACTGTGGCAACCAAAGGAAAGAATTTTTGGTGGACTGACATAGATTTTGAAGCTAAATTGTGAAATGATGTCACTGGCATATATTAGAGTACATCAGTCGTTTTGGCTTTGCACCTGAGACTCAATTTAGAACCTTACTGCTTCCTGTTTATTCTTACCTGGACACACACATCCTTTTCCATCCTTTACACTAAAGTTACTGAGCCGACCAGAGGTCTGTCACCTCTAACTCGACTCTTCAACCTCACCAACTAATCAACAATTCACTTCAAAAAGCCGCTCGCAAACAGTTGCGTTGCTGACAGAGCCTGGGAGTGTGTTGCGTTGCCTTTGAGAAGCAAGCTCATTAGAAGTCTGTCTCTGGTCAGATGGGTTGCCAGCACAGCAGTGACCATGGTGACACATGACTTGGCTGCCTGGACGTTTGTTGTAGACATTGGAGCCTTTATAACTGAGGTGCTAGCAAGTGTTACATAACGACACTGTGGAATAATCATCTGTCCCTGTAATTCTCTCAGCTCTTTCATAAGAGGTGAGAATTTCATAACTAGACAGGAACACTTGTATTGATGTGGTGCCATAAATCCAGTTTTTCTGCCTGTTTTGCCAATCTCCATCACAAATGTAACATTTTCTATTCAAACACCTGTTTCCTTTTTTCTGTCTTTTCATAAAAGCACACCTTTAACTTCATTTTCTCCTGTACAAATCAAGATTTTGTGTCAAATGGCATCCTTTCAAAAAGCCTGCAGAGCTAAGTGGCTATGATGTCTTCATGTTTACAGCAGCACTGGCAGGAATACACACACTCCACTAGCTTTTTGCCCTGGCTCATGCTGGAACAAAGAGCACATAGCTGGAGGAGGGCCACCAGAGCAGAAAAAAAAAAGAAAATGATGAAAAAACATGATGCAAGCCTCTCTGACCTACTGGGTTGCACTGTGTGTGCCTGTCTGTCTGTATGCTGTTCATTTCGCAAACTCTCCTTCGTTTGGCAAAAAACGCCCAACTGCAACTGTTCTGTTTCTCTCCAGGCGAAACACTAGCTGAGCAGTGGCATTTGTTGTGTGGGTGTAGGAAGATTTTTTTTTTTTTCCTACTGTCGAGAATTGTCTGCGGGGGGGAGTACACATGAAACCGCAGTCTGAATATGATCAAATCGGGTTTCAAGTGCTTACATTTCATAATTTAAGCTCCCTCTAGCTTGTGAAGTAACATTTGAAGCGCAGAACATAATATTTGGGAAAATAGTCCGGCCTTTTCCTGCACTGAAGAAGCATTTCTGAGCATAGTTTGATTTTGAGCCCATCACTTGATTAGCAAAGGCTGATAATAGAGCTCAGTAGTGCTCTCAACAGGGCTCTCACCAAGCAGGGAGCAAGTGATGCAATCTTCCTCTTGCTCGCCTGAAAGGAGAAAAATTATTTTACTGTCCTGAATTCAGCCTGTCTCTCTTGTCAATTTTCCACCTGACGGCCATTTCCGCCCTACGCGCACTTGCACACATCCAACACACAACTGTTCTCTTGTAACCTAGCAATTCACATCCATACCCCCCACTCCCCTTCCCCCTTGTCAAGTGCATGAAACCGACCTCATAACACCCCGCCCCACCCCTCAAGAATTGCGCTTTCCACCTCGGAGAATATCATATGTAGACCTTTCAGCGGCTCACTAGTGAAGACAAATTGCTAGCTTGTTTGGGGGGGCCTCCAGAGAGTGATTCATATTAATGGCTAGCTGGCAGTAGAGAGCGGGCTGCATATGCAAACTCCATTAGCAGGTTAGGCTGGAGTGTGTGACCTGGCAGTGCCACCGTGAGCTGCACACACAGGAGGACGAGCTGCGGAGAGGAGGCTGTGTTTGGAAAGAGTTGCAGCTGCAGGAGAATGCGTCTACACTATGTCTGTGTGTGTGCGTTTGTGCGTGCGTGTGTGTGTGTGTGTGTGTGTGGTGCAGTTAGACTGGTATCACTTTATCATGATATCAGGTTGATGTTGGTGTTAAGACATTTATTATCATATTTATTGTAAAACTGGTTGGTCTCACAAAGCGCTTAACCTGAACTGACTGATTATATTTATTATTATCTATTTAATTTAAATTAAATATGTGACTTTCTTTTTTTGTTTTAATGGACAACAGACATCAAGAAATTAAAAAATGGACTTAAATAAAAAAAATGTAAAGATTTAAGTTGCACACTTTATTGATTATTTTTACAACAATAAGCAAAAACATACAAATCTGGTCTATTGACACATTCATCCCTTGTTCATATTTCCCTATTTTTCCATTGTACTAACACTTTGTGAAAGTTATACATACTGCTATGTACAGAAGGCAGAGCAGTGGGTGGTTATATATTAGCAGCTAATTAATTAATTAAATATTAATCAAGACGAAAAGTGTATAATAAAGCCCTTTTAGCTGGACTAACTAAACAACATACATCAAGTTGTCAGTAATCGGCACTTGAGGGAAAGGCCACGGAGTTGTTCGAATCAGAGGATTTTATCCCCCTCAGAGCATGAAAGTGCTTTATTAAAATAATAGAAATCTGCCTATTTGATTGCAAGCTTTCTGGTATGCAAAGTTTAGGAAAAAACAGTGCAAGAGGAAAGATTAGTAGGTCATATATTTAGGGAATCATATCAGGAGTCTGGGGGTCATAGATGTCAAGGTACAGGGTATTCCATCCAATAATTGTTTAGATATCTTTGTCCAGACCAAGGTGATGGGCAAATTGATCCCCAATGCTATCAGGGCACAATGATCAGCATTACGGCTTTAATTAATTCCAACAGCACTCAATATAAAGAACAAACTCTAAATGTCAGTGAAAAAAGGAAACAAAAGCATGCTACATCTGAAAAATAACAGATGACAGCCGAGATGGTTCCCTAGAGGAAGATACATATATATGTTTTTTTTTTTTAGTTACATAACTCAGCTGCTCAATTAAGGAACATTGTTGAAAAATGCACAAGCAAATGTTTCCATCAAAACTAAATAAGCGGTTGCAGAAAGTTATTTTCAGATTTTATTCAAGTCGATAGTTGTTGATATTTTCCCAGGTAAACTTCCGAATACATCATATGTATGAAAACATTCAGCATAAACTTAATAGTTCTGAATGTAAAGTGTGAATGTCAGTAGGCAACATCAGCTTTTTTCCGATGTGTCAGAATTATTTAATCAACATTTTATATCATCTCATTGTCAGGTTGTAGCTACAGCACAGCTTGTGTGCATTAATTAGGCTGCCACTCAAAATGGAACTGTTTTTGCCATCTCAGATCTCAGCTGAATCTTTAAGTCATTTTTACCTTTAGTCACAACTGTTGACGGTTGAACTTTAATAGATTTGGTAAGCAAATTCCTGACTAGATGGATTTGGAGTTCATAAAATGCAGCCCTACTCTATTATGTCTACATGATATTAGCAGTATAATGTATGTTTTATTAGATGCATGATCTGCCACCATCAGGTACATTTGTCACTTTATTCTAGTGGCTAAAGCCTACGCTTCACAGCATGAATAACGAGCACATTATCAGCTTTCAGAAACCCACATTGTCACACTGAATGCTCCTATGTAATGTGATTATGTACATATGAAGACAGAGTCACTCACAATTAAAACTCGCTCTCTACACTCACAGATACTTGCACACAGATGTGGACAGCCGGCGCTTTGCCAGTGGCCGTGCGACAGCCAGGCCCTCTAGCCTCTAGTTTCCTCTCTCTCTCTCTCTCTCTCTCTCTCTCTCTCTCTCTCTCTCTCTCTCTCCCTCTCTCTCTCCACCCTGCTCCCCACACTCCAGCCTGATCAATCCTCTTTATAGATTTCTCATTTTCATTTATCTCCCAGAATGTGCTTTCCTCCCATTTCAGGGTCTTACAACAAATACCTCTGGATACCTCCACTCTTCTGCTGCCAAGTCCTCCCTATCCCTGCCCTCCCCTCCTCAAAAAACACCAGCGTCACTTGCGATTAACTTCTGCAATAAAATTCTCCTCGGCAACAGCTAATTGTGAATATGCAGTGGAACACATAATTTGCATTTTTGTAAACGTACGGACAAAAAAAGCAAAACACTAACCTAAGTGTGCTGTCAGGGTAGATTACAGCACGGTGGGAATGCGTGCGTGAAATCTGACGCAGCTGCCCAGGGCTGCTGGACGGGAGGAGGAGGCGGAGGAGCGAGAGAGATAAAGAGACAGCAAGTGAGAGAGAGAGAGAGAGATAAAAGAAAGAGAGAGTGAAAATCAACAGACCCAGTCACAGGTTGACCTTTGGCCTTGTGTACCTGACAATGATCAGCAGTCTCTCCTGTTCAGTCCGTCCTGTCATCTCTTGCTGACATCAACATGCTGCATTGTGCTGTTTCACTCGCTCTGTCTCTGTAAGTTACATCCCTCGGCTTCTTCCTTTTGTCTCTCTCGCTTTATTTTGACATCTTCACACCTGAGGCAGATATCTGTGTATTTGCTGCTGTTTGAACAGATTTATTCACTTTATTGAAACAAAGGTAGAAGATCACAAACGAAATAGTCTTTTAGTCTAAAAATGGGATCAGCGGATATTATAAGGCAGATAAGATAATTATACGCCAAATATATGTTGGAGGTGGTTTACAGTGTCAATATAGTCTAAAGGGCTGCCACTCACTTTTTTCATTATTAACCAATTATTTTCTAGATTAATTGATTCATTTAGTCAATATAATGTCAGAAGACAAAAAATATGTCCATCCCAGTCCAAGGTGATGTCAAAGATGTTCAGTTTAATATAATATAAAACATAGAAAAGTCATGAAAACAACACTTTCTCCCATTTTTGCAAGAAAAATTACTTTAACGATGAATCGATTATCAAAATTATTACCGGTTATTCTCCTGGCGATCAACTAATCCATTAGTTTGTAGTTTGTCTGTCAAAAATTTTACATTTCAACTGTAAAATGTCCCATTTCTGCTTCAGCACGTATCTTGGTCACAATTTCTTTAAATTGTAACTAATTTAAGGAATCCTCAACAAACATGCTTGTTTCCCTGATGTGGTTATGTAAACAAATACTGGCCAATATATTGTTAAGCAGATGCTATTAGCACCCAAGTGTCAGTAGCCAACAATTCTATTTTATTTTATTTCAATTACATTTTATTTATATAGCGCCAAATCATAAGAGAACAGAAAAAAACAATGCTATTTTCATCCAAACCATGATCTTCTCCAAAACCTAACCCATTAGTTTTGTTGCCATCACCTAACCAATCTGTGACTGAAAACTGACAATAATAATAAAAAAAAATGAAAATAAGTCAACCAAAGTCAAACCCTTACCCTAATCCATTCCTCCACCACAACCTAAGTGGACTTTGAGGCTATTTATTCTACATCAAAATAACTTCTGTGTGACTATTGTCACCCGGGTGCAAATAGACTATTTATTCATCTTGATTTTATTTTATTTATATAGCAAATCCAAAAACAGAAGTGACCTCAAGATACTTTTTTTTATCTGTGATGTAATGTGGTTTCAGATGGTGACATAAGTAGTTTATCAGGGATAAGCAAACCAGCCGCTACTGAAGGAAACAGAGGAAGCCAAAAAAAAGCTGAGCTGAGTGAACCCAGACATATACATAGAGAGACTAGCGGAGCCAGGGTTAAGAGACAAGGCTAGTGGAACTGTGAGGGAATATAATTGCATCTACTGGAAATTTCAAACATTGATTTAAACCTATCAACAACAAAGGTAATTGATGGAAGATTGCCTGGTATAAAAAGAACAGAGAACTCCTCAATTTCCATCCAGCATAAAGTTGCATAGTGTGAAATTGAACCACACAGCGACAGTGAGACCTGTATCCATGGCGACTCAGCCACTGACCAGGCGAGCATCAGTGCTTTCGCTCGTGGCTTTCAAACACACTCAATAAAGATACTTCCTCATAATTATTATTATTATTATTATTATTATTATAAAAAAATAAAAGATTAAATTAACCAACGCTTTGACTGATAAGGTATGACGGCTTTGTGCTTCCTGTGTAATGTTTCACTGCTGAATCAAAGAAGCAAAGCCTCAGTCAGCACTGCAGCATTGGCAGCTCTGAGGCATTGGATGCATGTTTCACTCTGAGAGGAGCCTACAGAGGACCAGATGACACCATATTGAAGGTTTTAAAAATTTAACATGTTTTGTATTCATTTACATCTCACACAAAGTCAGGGAAAGGTCATAGACTGTTGCCAGCTATTATTATTTTTCTCAGCACGACGCCGACGATCTAAAACGTTTGATCTCTTGTAGGAACAGATTATTTAATCAAATACTCATGTTCATATTTGAATCCACTTTTTGTCAGCACTAGTCAGAAGCCTTACAGCATACGTTTAGGGGAAAGTCTCTGATAATTGCTCACACTGGTTTGTCTGATTGTTGGAGACTCAAACTGCTGCTGAACTGCTTACTATTGGTTAAAATGTTCAAGCATGTACACTTGTGGCCGTGCCCAAATATGTGATGTCACAGCCATGTGTTCTTCCAGCCGTTTATATTTATAAGATCCCCATTACCATTAGCTGACTAGTCTTCCATAAATACAGCAAATACAAACAAATATTAGTTTAAGACTGTAGACTGAATTAGGACATAACCCAGATGATAACAAAGTTTTATTATATTTGACCATATTGCCTAAAATACAGGATATTTCACTTACAATTTCAAGCTTTTTTTTGTATTTAGTGTGAGTTGGTAGCAAATCTGAAGAGGTTCTGTACAGAAATAGCTTCCAAATGGTTTATTTTAGGTTTGGTAGGAAGTATTTGAGCCTAATTAGTATTCCTAGTAAGATGCTGGTGTTTCTGGCTGATGTATTTAAGCTGGTCTTGAGAAGAATTTAAAGAGGTACTCCACACTCAAACATGTTTTTTGAGCTGTAAACTAAATTATGACTTTACGCTGAAGAAACACATCAATGCTGGTGTTAATATTTACACACTTTATGAAATTTGGCATATAATTTATAATAACATATGACAAATCTTATTTATGCATATGGAAAATAATATGCACATTTGCCATAGTATTGTCAGTGTGTTTTTAAAGACATCTTGCCTAAGCTTAGCTACAACACAGGTACCAGATAGAAACTTTTACAAACAGTCATGAATGTGCTTCTAGGGACTTAAAAAGCTCCAGCGGACACAGAGAGACAGCAGCTGCTCTTAGCTGGTTAGCTCTGTCAGTCACTCCGGTTGGTGTCAAGTCCACGCCCCCTAAAGACACTGTCCTTTGCAGGCATTTTTTTTAACATTCTGAGTGGGAGGGAGCTTGCAGAATACAAAGATGAAGTTTGCTTTTGAATAGTTTGGTAGCATTTTGCCAACTCTAATGTGATATTGGCAATGCACAGCTAATCTACCAGCTTTTATAGCTTGGCTGCAGACCAAACAACAGAGCAATAATAGAGCTGTATCAGAACCAATGATGATATGATCCTGTTCAGAACATTTTCAGAAGACCTTTTACTAATGCTTGTGCATCCCATGATTTTACAATGTTATCAATGTGCTGAGTCCCAGAGAGATAATGGGAAATGTGAGTGATACCCAGAAGTTTTTATTTTATTTTCTTTGTTCCAATAGGACGTGATGTGGATTGCAATTAAACAAACCCACAGAGAGCAGTTCAGCATCAGTTTTCTACCCTTTCATTCAGCATCTTCAGATTCATGTCTTTGAAACCTGCGAGCTGACCTGCTGTTTAACTGAAGTGTAATGTCTCTTGCCCTCGGCTGTGGCTTCTCATAACACTATCAGGGGGTCACCCATGCTGAAAAAGGAGGCGTGATGCTGTTAAGTGCATATGGCGTATATTAATGTCATGTCTTGTAAATTACCGTGACGGTCTTGATGCGACCGCTGCCCCTGGTGCAGGTCCAGCCGGATCGGTTGAACAGGAGGCTGCAGACCTCCCCCTCCAGGCAGGGAGCCATCTCACACCACTGACGGCTCCGCACGATTCGTGCTGGGAGGGCGAAAGACAAGAGGGCAAAGAGGAACATTAGACAGACAGATTCACAGACCCAGAGAGAGGCTTCAAAATGTCAACTTTTTCTGGAGCAAACAACTAAACTGTCCTTTTTATGCTCACCAGACATCTTCATATGTTGATGTGTCTTCAAGCCTGTAGTATTTTAATTAGGTTCTTGTTGAACCACCATGTCTGAATTGCCTGTGGTAGTAACCTTTACAGACCAGCTGGCGGTCCATAAATTACTCTCCTGCTAAAGCTAGCTTTCACTGCAGCTGCATTAAAAGATTGCTTGTTCCTTTTGACATTATGTTACACTTAATATTCCTCCTGAAAGGCTTTTTTTAAGTGATTCTACGTAAAAAGGTTCAAGGTAAAAAGTCATTTGTACCATTTTACAACATAATGCGGCTGGTTTTCTTTTTATGAAGCTGCACTATAATTATTTTTTTTCCAAAAAAACAACACATAGTTTCCCTGTGAGATCTTTAAGTGCTTTGATTCTGTCTTTTCACCATCAAGGCCAGGCATGGTGTACAGTATATCACAAGAGTCTTGGGCACCAGGAGTAAATAGAACTACATTACATAGCGGGAACAGCAGGAGCGCAGGTTCATTGTTAGTTCACAACAACTGAAATAACCCTAGCCACCTCGTCCACCATTCAGAAGAATTTCTCTGCAAGTAAACAAGGAAAAAGATAAAAATTTGCAAAGGAACTGCAGTGCTGTAACTGGGACTGCACGGAATTTGTGGAGATATAATGATAGCATGAAATGATCCATTTTTTTGCTACAATCGAAGATGCTTTCATTTTTTTATTCCTGAATGCATTCTAAACTGGGAAAGCAATCTGTTATCCTAAATAGTGTCAAAGTGTCTTTTGGAAACAAAATGCAGGGAGTCAATGCTGGATTTTTATCTATTTGCTAATGTACCATTAGGGTAAGGGCCATCGAGGCTGATTTTTAAAAATATTTCCATCTCAGGTTTCGACATGAACCTGTACAGACCACGACAGGTGTCATGGGGGGAAAAAACCCACCCCCACAACCCTCAAGGATGGACTGGGAAAAATAAACTAGCGTCAGGACATGGATAATGCGATTTGAGAAGTGAGAAATTACTTTTGTTTTGACTTTGGACAGAGATACTGTAGGTGGATAGCAGGAATTAGTGATATTTCAATACATAGATTAGAGGGAGTGGATTACAGATTACAAAAGGCAATAAAAAAGCCAACAAGCTTCAATTCTTAAAGTTATTTGCCTGCTGGAGACATCAGGCTGTCAGAGTGAAAGCCAGTCTCTCATTCTCCCTCTGCAGTCTGTCTGCATGACATTGAATTAGCATTCGCCTGTAGTCGATGCTGATAAGCACTGATTGTTCTTTACACAGCGTGCTAAAGCAACACTGAAAGGTTATCAGCCCTCTGCGGACCTGGCCGGGGCCGCTGCTCCCGCCTACCCACAATCCCCCCGGGGCAGCACATTGTGGAACGAGGTAACATGGTCGGCAAATTGAAAGAGAGGAACTACAATTCGTTGAATGTCCAAGGGAGAGCTGAGGGTGGAACAGAAGAGCGAGCGGGAGAGAGGGAGAGTGAGGAGGTGTGGAATGGGAGGCCTTGTGACATTTTGCTGTGAGGTATCCCTGGTCCAGGCCTTGTTAACCGTCTGAAATTGGTCTTTGGGGTGTCAGACCCCGACTGCTGCTCTGCAATAAAGATCTGTCATCTTGTGGTGTTTATCAAGCCGACGGAACAGCACCCTTATGTATTTAACCACGCACACCTACAAAATTACAGCTCTGTAGATATAAAGCCATTCTCCCTTAGCAAATAATAGATATTGTTGACACATCAGAAGAAGAGCCGTGTTTTTTTCAGTCTGCCCTCACGGCGTAGTTAGGCAGTGGTGGAACAAAACAATCCAGAAACCTGTCATCTCATTGAACCGAACAAGCCTAAGAAAATATTAAAGCTTTGCAACTCCAATCTGAAACAAAATGGTCATTTTGGCTTCACCCTGAGCACAGATTCCTCGGTGAGTAGGGGAAAATCTAAAGTGACCTTCCTCCTGACACAGCAACATGCCGTGGTGAATTTTCATTTTCACAGCCATCCGTCAGGCGCAACAAAGCGTAGATTTATCAGTCAGTTGCAGATGTAGTTTTGAGTACATTACAGGGCCAGCAAAACTCAATTTCCAGGGCACGGAATAAAAGCTGAGCTGGCAAAGCGGTGGGAGTGCTGACTAACCGTGGAGTACATCAGCCCAGCCAGCCCAGAGTCGCGGAGGTTGGCTAAAATAAATGCATTTTTCAGCTGCCGCCACAGTATCCGGCCACTCAATAGCTTGCCCTTGTTACTTTTTCAATGCCATCCATGACAGTGTGACTTGATCTATGATGACTTGATGAATTTCCTAGTGCCGTAAGCCACGGAACGGTCGTACAGCGATGGTTGGGATTAGAGCGTCGCTGTGATAACTTCATCAACAACAACACCATGAATAACACAAGCAGCAAACAAAATGGCACCACTGCAGTTTGGCTTCAGGTTGTCTCTATCAATCAAACCTATCCGTCCAATATGCTGGCACACCCAACTGTAGACCCATTAAAAAGCTTATATGGCACAACCACCCACACACATCAACAGTATCCTGAGAAGACTTTAAGCTTTGGATCTGAAGATGTCTGAAAATGTCTGTCTGCTGTTATATTTCATTTTAAAGTAATCTTTTGCATGTTGCTATTATAATAAACCTGGCTTGCTGGATCACTCAACTGGTGCAAATGACTGAGAATTATTGCGTCTGTGCTGGCATTATGGTTTTATTATGATAGGTATCTGTTTTGTGTTGTGTTTGAACATGTTGTCCTTTTTGTGATGGTGGCAGTGTGCAGCAGCAGCAGAGTTGAAACAGCTGGCTGTAGTGGTTGAAAGACAGAGAGAAACAGATAGATAGAAAGAGAGAGAGAGAGAGAGAGAGAGAGAGAGAGAGAGAGAGAGAGAGAGAGAGAGAGTCTGTCTGTCTGTCTGTCTGGCTGACACCTGGGTGGCCCGTCCTGTTGCCGTCACTGTCTGCGTCCCACCCGGGGCCCGTGGACGTCGGGCCAGGCTTGTCAGCTGCCAGGGTCCCTGCTGGGGTACGACTCTGGACCTCCAACTAGATCACATGTAAGACCATCTGTCCCCCTGTGCACAGTGCCAAGCCCTGCCCTGCCCAGCACAACACAGCACTGCCAGACGAGACTCAGAGCAGGGCAGGAGGCACGACAGTGAGTCCTAAACCAGCCGCACTGTTATTCTGACGAAATTCTGCCTCTGCAGAAGTAAAAAAATTGCATAAAATTTTTACTAAAGCCACAGGCAGCTCATTTAAAATGTATTTAGATGAGGTACAAGAAACAAAAAGACAGTTTTAGTGACAGTCTCTCAAAAGCTAAAAGGAAAAATACCAAGAGTGTTCATCGCACCGAAAAGACGACATTGTGTGTCTCTTGTGCTAATTTAATCATCGTACAAGATTAGCTAACTAGCTTAGCTGGGCATCAGAAACACTGTAACAGGTTTTTACAGGCTTTCTGGCTGATGTCAATTAAGCTTCAATCATGAATCAATTTGTAGCGGCCAGATTTTCAGCCCTCTGTCCTCTACACAGCGCAGCCTGCTAACAGAGCCCTGATGGTCTTTCAGTTCTAATTATGACAACAGAAAAATCCAACATTAAACACATTTCAATTGCAGCCAAGCTACAAATGACTCTATACTTCATGATAAACTGTGTTTTTCATTGAGCAAGCTGTTGCTGTGTATTACTGACACTTTTCTGTTGCATTTTTTGGGGCTTGTTTTCCAAATGGTTTTGTTTGTGATGAGTTAGGAAGTTAGATTACAATTGTCAGGAATCAGAATAGTTGATCAAGGTGGATCAAACTTTACAATCTGAATTGAAATTGATCCGTTACATCTGTGGATGTGAGTCAGTCACACAGTAGTAGGGTTTGCTAGTAATGATGATGATGATGATGATATTTCATGTTCATTTCCATGCTGACTTACAAACGTTGCTTTGGGAAAAACACTGAACTGTTGTCACAAACACATTCGCTGTCAGAGATTCAGATTTTTCTTGTATTATAAATTAGTTTGAAGAGATGGAGAGGCCATTTTGGAGAGCTGTGCTGATGAACCAGTTGAGATGTAAAAGGAGCAAATTTTCAAATAATGGCTGATCACTAATTATTTATATAGCTTTTCCTTTTGACATTTTTGTAATTGTTGTTAAGCTACAGTCAGCAAAACTGACCTCTGTATATTTTACAAATTAAAAGCACTGGGTTATGCCATTTGAGCTGCTGGAAGGCTTTTATTGCTGAACATCTGGACAGGAAGTGTTACCTGTCATTGACAGTAACTTAATCATAGATGATAAGTGAATGAAAACAGCACTTCTGTTAGAGAAGGGGAACTAAGAAATTGTACAGAACAGAAGTTGTTGTACAGAATTAATGCTGTAAAATATATATAATACTGACATTTGTCAGGTAAACATGGAGGGAGTGTTGATTTCACTTTACCAGAAAACGTCATCAACAGCAAATTAAAATGGGAGCAGATCAGAAAAAAAGGGAAATATGATAAAATATAGTTACATTTTTTAAAATGTCTTTTTATACCATACATTTGTTTTAAATAAAGGTCTGGTTCTCCCTGCAGCTGAGGTAAAAGAGTACAACAAATCTTCTCAGTTGCGTGTCTGCATTACAAATCTGAAAAAAGCTTTGCTTTTACCTAATCTCCTTTCAACAAAACTTTTTTTTCTCATTTAGTGTCAATGATCATTTCACTGAGTGTGAAAGCAGCAGCTTGCAGCCAGCACATAAACAGTCTCCCTGCAGCCTCCAGACTCTTATCATGGTGGCCATCAAGCTTCATACGATTACAGTGTGATGTGGTGGCATGGCAACAACGGGCCAAGCAGAGA